AGCCGTGCATCCACCTCAATCAGCAGCACCCTCCTCAATACAGCAGCAGCAGAGACATGCTCTGCAACACTCCAAGTTTTCCGCATCTGTTCCAAACCGCGATGTGTATCATGGTATCGTCGTTATAAAACTTATTGGTGAACACGCATGGCGTCGTGGAATGCCCATTGCACCGACCCCTCCCAAGTCCACTCACTAACTTGCTGCTACAGTAGCGTCTCACCAAGTGTCCACTCCCGAGCTTAGGCGGTGTTGCCCCAAGAGCTCGAAAGCCTTGCCAAGTGAGGGGGCAACCGCGTTCTGTCCCCTAGGTTCCAGGTTCCTCAGCTGCTCGTGAAACCTAAGAAACACGCGCCCATCCACCCCCCGCGCAAAACGCCGAGAAAGGATGTACACTTCCGATGGTGTGTGTGTTGAAGATCCATTTTTGAACGACGATTGGACCAAGTATCTGGTTCTCTTGCGTACTGCTGTAGGAGGCTTGCTTCTCTCGCTGGTGGATCCGGCTAGGATCGGCAACCCTAACAGGAGATGGGACAATGTTGAGGCAGAAGTGGTAACCATCAGCGTCGTCACTGGCATGATGCCTCAAGCCTACGCCTGCGAGAGAGACGACCGTTCAACTGCCGTCGCCCCGCCTACAAACCTCGCCAGCCTCTTCTCCGGCTTGTCGCCCCAGTCCGCCCACGACGTCTTGACGTTCGCAGGCCACTCCTCCGTTGTGAGGAGGAGGCAGTTCGTCAGGAGCACGTGGTGCGCAGGCGTGTGTCTGCTCTTGACCGTGAGCTGTTCCACCATGTCCTTGGCGTGGTCGAGCAGGGACCGGCCGTCGGACGTCTTCTGGGACATGGACGCGCTCGTGTCGATCACAAAGGCGGCTACCAAGCTGGCATGCTGCTGCTGCTGTTGTTGTTGTTGCTGCTGCTGCTGCTGCTGCTGCTGCGACATCTTGGCCTGGGGGCGTATTTGTTCACCTAGCGTGTATGTTGCAGCACAGAAAAGTCAAGCGGCGTTACGTACGGAGCGGGACGGTGAGCGGACGCTAGTATTGTGGCGTGCTGCGGCCCGTTTTTCTCGAGGAATTTCCTGATGCGTGGTTTTGGCCTGCTGGTGCCACTCGAACCACGAATAGCACCGCCATGATGTTGGGGCTAAGGCAAGACGATGTCGGGACTACAGCACTAAGGTGGACGGTGATGGGTGATGGGAATACCGTAGGAGGCGGAGAGATGGCACTCCCCCGATGTACTGTAGACCGGCTTTCAAATAGATTTCTCTGACGCTGTTGTATGAGGTCATTGCTAATCTATCTCAAGACTCTTTTCTTAGAGATGGGATTCGCTGGGTCATATTCAGAAAAAAAAAAGCTCCACAACTAAGTGGGTGCGGAAAGAGCCCGATACGTCTACGGAAAGCCCTCGGCGAGATGTTTCCCTAACCACCATTGTTGGTATTGGCACAAGCTTGGTTCTGGGCCAATCAATATTTGAAATCGGTCTAGGGTGGTGCCAACTCTCGGCCTCTTAGCGGTGGTATCTTCGACCAGACGACTAGACGACGAGAAGACGCGACCGAACGCTGCGTACTTGTTGGCGCATTCAACTGAGGAAGAATGGCGTGTTGTGAACTGAAATAATGAGCGGGCATCACACCGGGAGCATGTTCGGGCAATAGCATGCCAAAAATAGAGCAGGGATCCTGTGTACGCTGCTGCCGGCTTCTGAGCGCGCGGTGCCGAACACTCCGGGTGTATGTAGACTCCAATACTGCTGCTGAGATGCATGTTGTGTACCAGTACAAGTGGACAACGAAAAGCCAGGGGGGCTCTCCCAGTGTGCTTTGCGGGGTGAGAGGCTGTGTGTTGAGGTCAAATTGCAGACACGGTACTGTGCACCCGGCAACACCCCTTTCCTGTGGATACGAAAACATGTGTCGGTCAAACATGGTGGTCGTAGATACGGAGGACTGCTGCTGTTGTTGATTGTCTACACTTCATAAGAGTAGATATCAACTCAAACAAACGTAACATCAGACTGCCCGGCTGGTGTCTAAAAAACAAATAGGACTTGAAAGCCATTTCCATTTTTTGCGGCGGCTGATTGTTCAGGTGTTCGTCTCAACAAAGGCACCACCACCAACCTGTACTTGGAACGGACGCCCTTATTACCCCTCTTCAAAGTCCTCACCCCTGTCCCCAGGAGGCCAGCACGAGCAGGTCTTTGTCCTTTCTGCCGGCGAGCGGCCTGTGCAGCACCGTGAGGGCGACAGCAGTCCCGAACTGCTCCTGTGCTTTCCAATGCCGTTCCCAGCAGGGCACGATTAACGAGCTTAACACTTACCAAGCTCTCGCAGGGATAGATGCACACCGTGCGGCGAACGCGTAACACTCACGATGTTGCTCTCGCAAGTTAATCTCTCGCGGTGTCTTTCGTACCGCTGCATGGTCGGGAAAAAACTACGCGCGCAAGGAATATGCCTCGGAAAGCATTGAAACCCCGTCGGCCATATTCACACCTCTCTTTGAACCAGTGCTGTGCTATTGCTGAGCGGCCCTGCTGCACAACTGCTGAGGTCGATCAGGGTGAGGTGAGTGCGTGGGATCAAGAAGGCGCTTCATTGTTGAGAGAGCGTGAGTGGTTGCGGGGTTTTGGTGACTGTCCGTCCGCTTTTTCCACCGCTTCTTGCCGCTTGGTCGCCGAAGGCAGGCAGGGGGGATTGATTGTGCTACCACATTGAAAACACTAAGCTTGTGCTTGCTTGACCCTGACTTGCGCTCTCTTTCATCTCCTCTAATGATGATGGAGTTGTGTGTAATCGATTGTGCATGCTGGTATTCTTGATCAATCACAGCATCCATCATCCTTTCACCACCAAAGAGTGTGCCAATCACCTACGCCCGATTGCCGTCTCAAGCACTCCTGCCCGTTCGCCCCTCCTGCAGCACTCACCGCATATCCTAATGGTTGTTTGGAAGGTAACTATCTATGTATCATCCCCAACGGCTTCATTTCCATCTCCTCTCTAAATTATCACCTCTGCTTTGCATACTTTGTAGAAAAATACAATCAGGTTGCCACAACCAAGTCTCGATTGTATCGCCCCTGAACGAACCACCCCACGACACTGCAGGCTTCTCCTGGCAAGGCCATGAGTAGCGTTTTCGGCAGCAGACGAGCCGGCAACCAGCAGTGCCGCTCCGGCCAGCAATGTAGCCATGGCAACTGCTCCTCCGCCAACGCCTCGGCCTCCTTTCCCGCCGGGGGCGCTCTCGGCCAATCCCAAGGCAGCAACGCCACCACCGTCCAGCCGGGAATGGAACTGATGCCGACTTTGCAGCAACAGCCAGGCGGGCTTACCGGGCTGCCACTTGGCGGCGGTGGTGGTGCTGGAGGGCTTATGGGGGCAGGCAACATCGAGGAGAGCCTGAAAGGAGCGCCGCCCAATGTATTGGCCGCGGCGGAGCGGCTCTCCTTGATTGCTCCGATGATGGCCGGGGCGGGGGCGGGCGGCGGCGGTGGCGTCGGAGGCGTTATGGACATGGACGGTATGGCCAACGTTGTGAGGACGGCGCCTGGGGCGGAGAGCACGGACACCGGCGCTCTGAGTGTGAGAATAGGTGTCTTTGTATAGTATTTTGCACGTACAGGTATCTAGCGTAGTATTGTTAGTGTGGTGCTTGCCTGCCAGCCGATGTTTTCATGTCTTGACGGCATGCGTGGGTGACAAGATTTGTCGGGTGCCAACCCTACCAAGATTGGTACTCCTATTGATGTAGAGGATGAGACGTGT